GCCGCGCGCTCCCGGGAGCTTGTTGTGATAATCTCTGGATCCTGGCCTTTGTTGGGGTTACACGGCAGTTGGAGGGTGTAACTGTCTAGTTACTGACAGGTCCAGTCCCAAACCGTGCAGGCTTGGAGATCTCAGCCCCGGGTCCCACACACCTGGGTTCCTCTGCCAGTTTTGTTATGTCTGAGGCTTATCCAAGTGTGTGGAGAGTGGCCCCAGTAAGGCCTTGGTTGGGGCCTGCAGGTTGTTATTAAAGCAAAATCTTTAATAGTAATTTTGAAACGTCTTATAGGGGCCAGACAACAGTACAGATCAAGCACTTGCCTTGCACACAGTCAACCTGGGTTTAATCTCCAGAACCCATATGATTTCTTGAACCCTGCCAGGAGTCATCCTGAGCACAGAGCCAGGAGGAAGTCCTGAGCACCACTGGGTGTGGCCCCCAAACAAACAAAAAGCAAAAAAAATAAAGTCCTTATGTAAAAAATTGCCTTTGAGTTTTATGGTTTCTGAAACATTCCAAAGAAAACCAAAACCACTTTGTCCAGCCAGTTGTGACAATGCCACAGATGGACGCATCAAACTCTGAAGCAAAAGCTTCATAATACTTTTGTTTATGTCTAGTTTGGAGGTCACATCCAGCAGTGCTCAGGGCTTACTCCTGGCTCCGCACACAGGAGTGACTCCTCTAAGGTTTGGCGGACCATATGGGATGCCGGGAATCGAACCCAGGTGGCCTATGTGCGAGGCATGTGCCCTCCCTGCTGTGCTATCGCTCCAGCCCAAGTCTTTCCCTTATGGGGAATTTATCTACTTCTTAGTAAGATATTCTTCCCTCTGTTAATCCTTACCGCTCCTCCAAAAATTTATAAAGATTCTGGTTATTTTATTTAAAAGAGAAATGGGAATTTCTTTTTATTATATTTAACTTATTTTTGTTTTATTCTTGGGCCACACCCAGGGGTGCTCAGGCCTTACTTCTGGCTCTGCACTCAAGGATCACTCCTGCCAATGCCTAGGGGACCATACGGGGTGCTGAGGATGGAACCTGAATCAGCCACATGCAAAGTGAGCACCTTCCCTGCTGTACTATCTCTCCAGTACCCCCTTTATAGTATTTATAAAAATAAAAATCTTTGTAAAAGTATTGAAAGCTGATTTGCTACAGCTTAAGAAAGACTCCAAAGAGTATTTTCTCCCATTCAGTTAGCTATCTTTTTGTTTTGGCCCGTGTTCCTCTTGATCTGATGTTGTCCCATTTCTTCTTTTCTTTTTTTTTTTTTAAACTTTTGGGCCACACCTGGCAGGGCTCCGGGGACCTTATAAGGTGCTGGGGCCTGAAACCAGTCGGCCACATGCAAGGCACACGCCTTACTCACTAGACCACTGCTCCGGCCCGAATGCTCGAGACTTTGCAGGGAAAAGAGCTCAACTGCCCTCCAACTGCATCAGCGACTGCGCTGAGCAGGGACAAAGGAACCGACGGCTGCAGGCGGCACCACCCGAACCTGGGTGTTCCAGGCAGTAACACCGGGTGGTCAGGTGTCTAGTTGTTGAAAAACCAAACCCTAAAACGCTTTCTAGCGCAGGTGCCATGTGTACGAGATTCTGACGGGAGAAAACTATTTTCGTGGTGAGTAGGTGACGGCCTGCAGGGAGCTCAGGACGGGCTGGGGGTGTGGCGAGGCTGAAAGGAAGCACGGAGGGGAGGTGGGCACGGAGGGATGAGAGCAGCTCAAAGGTTCCTGTGGCCATGGAACTTTCTAGGGTCTTGACAATGGATCCATGAGAACAGGCTGAAAAGCTGCCCAGCAATGAACACACACACTCTCACACGCACAGTTAATCGCACTCTCTCATATACGCTCTCTCATACACACTCACAGACACTTAATCACACTCTCACACATACACTCACACACTCACTCACACCCACATACACACACACACACTTGCCCTCTCACACATACACAATACTCACACACAAAAAATGAGGTTAGTCCTAAGGGTGGGAACGTGAAGGTCTGTGGACGGTACTAAGAGTAAATCTAAGGTAAGTCAATATTCTGGGCGTGACATCAGGTACAACGTCCCCTAGGGAGAGACTGTGAAGTGTTCACCAGTCTCCCCAATGGGGGTGTGTGTACATTCATGTGTGTGCGTGTGTGTGCATATGTGTGCACGTGTGTGTATGCGTGCGTGTATGTGTGTGTGTGTGTGCATGAGTGTGCGCACGAGTGTGTGATGATGACCCAGGCCAGCAGTCGTGGCCGTGGGAGCACTTGGGGCGCTTCCTTCTAAGGCAGGCAGACGAGGGGTGGCACCAAGTGCTCTCTATTTCTGCACCGGCCAAGTCAGTCTGGCACCTCAATTTCAAGGCTCTCTGCGCCACTTCTTACAACTTCTGTCAACCTATAATTAGCTTCATGGATGTGTGATTTAAACTATGTCTGACTCGGGGACTGGAGCGATAGGATGGCCAGAAGGGGTTTGCTTGCATGTGGCCATCTCCAGGGTTGAACTCAGCACCCGGCAGGAGGGACTCCTGAGTGCAAAGCCAGCCATCAGCCCTGGGCATCACTGGGTATGGCCCAAAAAACAAAAAGAAAAAGAAAAGAAACCCTGAGAATCAGAGCAAGAGTGGGTGGGGGGCATGGGGCCCCGAGGAGAGGGGACCAGGGGTGTCAACTCCCTCCCCTCACCTCCTGTTTGGTGGCCTTCGCTGACTGAATGACCTCGGGTTAGCTCTCGGTTCCATATGCTGAGCACGGCCAGGACCCTTGGCACGAACCCTGAGTGACTAATCACGGGTGCCAAACCGTCCAAGTTGGCTTGTGAGCGTTTTTCTACTCGGTGGAGCCCAAACTCTCATCCTGCACGTGGCCACTATCCATGGTTAGTGCTGAGAGTCACGGTTTGCTCTGTGACTGTGATCTGGGCGCCGGGAGTCAGGACTTCATGGTCAAGGTAGCCTCTTTGTGGGGACAAAAACGTGCCGAACACCTCCCCTGCAATGCTACAGGAATGGACCGGCTGAGAACTCAAATGAATGTATCGAGGCCTCAAATGACACGCCACTCTGGGTGGAAAACCCACAGAACTGCATGGGGCAACCTCCTCACAGCCGTCTATGGGGGATGCCAGGTTTCTAAGGTCCTTCAGGCCTTTGTTAAAGACCTCAGCAGCGTTGGTAAACGGCCCCTCCCAGCAGAACTGGGCTCGCCTGCCAAGGGCTTAGTGCCGCTTACCAGCTCTCCCAGGCAAGTGCTTCTGAGCGCTAAAACTGGCTAAGCGGGCCTGGGCATCTTCATGGCTCCTGTTGGTGTTCGGTGAAGATCAGTGTCTCCAAGCACCTCACAGGCGGAACCGACAGTCATCACCAACAGTCATCGGTCAGCCCGCCCGGTGCATCCTTTAGCTGAGACAGCACTTCCAGGTGTAGCTACTGATGGAAGTGCTCCGAACACAGCACGGACACTAACCCAGACACTGCAAAGCTGGAGCATCCACTTACCCATCCTCTTCAGTATTTATTTATTTTTATTAGCGAAACACCATGAGGAATGGTGGTAGACTTACAAACTTCTGTGCTTGGGTTTCAGTTATACAATGATATCCATCCCTCCACCAGTGTCCATTCTCTACCACCAATGATCCCAGTAGCCCTCCCAACCCCGTACTCCATCCCCCCCACCCTGCCCCACCTCTGTGGCAGGGCATTCCCTTTTGCTCTCTCTTTCCTTTAGGGTGTTGTAGTTTGCAACAGAGGTATTGAGTAGCCATCGTATTTGGTCTATAGTCTACTTTCAGCACGCACCTTGCATCCCAAGCGAATCCTCCAAACATCCTTTACTTGGTGTTCCCTTCTCTATATGAGCTGCCTTTTCCCCAGCATCTGCTACCAGCTTTCAAGCCGTGGAGCAGACGTCCTGGTATTTATCTCAACTATTCTTGGGTATTCGTCTCCCATTCTGTTACTTTATAGTCCCCAGATGAATGCAGTTTTTCTATGTCTGTCCCTCTCTTTCTGGCTCATTTCACTTAGCATGATACTTTCCATGTACAACCACTTGTATGTAAATTTCATGACTTCATTGTTACTAACAGCTGCATAATATTCCATTGTGTAGATGTACCAAAGTTTCTTTAACCAGTCATCTGTTCTTGGGCACTCAGGTTTTTTCCAAATTTTGGCTATTGTGAACAGTGCAGCAATGAACATACAAGTGCAGATGTCATTTCGACTTTACTTTTTTGCTTCTCTGGGATATATTCCCAGCAGTGGTATTGCTGGGTCAAATGGGAGCTCAGCTTCTAATTTTTTGAGAATCGTCCATACTGTTTCCAGAAGGGCTGAACCAGTCGGCATTCCCACCAGTAGTGAAGGAGGGTCCCTTTTTCGCCACATCCGCACCAACACCGTTTGCTTTTGTTCTTTTGGATGTGGGCCAGTCTCTGTTTACCTATCCTCTTTACACTCAGGAGAGGATGTGGATGCCACACAGGCTTCCTGCCCAGCGCCCTCAGCTTCCGCTGGTCTGGGCTTCACGTTAAGAGCTGGTGGAGGGGAGCCAGTTACTCATCCCACTATCTGCTCCCTACGCTGACTGCACCACCAAAGATCTGGATGCGCCTGTAGCTTTTCTGGACACAGCCCCTGTTTTTCCATTTCCCTGGGAATGGAAACAGGAATTCTCCCTGACTGTCACACTCTGTGCTGTCCCTGACTGCCCTGGGACTTTTTGAGCTACAGGCCAGTCTCTCCATCACAGAGCCAGAGCGTTGGAAAGACTATTATTAAATCTCACTGGTCTGGGAAGTGTGTGTGTGTGTGTGTGTGTGTGTGTGTGTGTGTGTGTGTGTGTGTGTGTCTTTCCTTCTTAACCTAAACAGCCAGGTAGGAAACACTACAATTAAACCTATAATGACGGGACACTTACAGGATTAAAAATAAAAACCACACCCAGTAGTATTTAAATTACGGAAGATAAGAAAATGATTACCTTCATTAAAAGGGAACTATTCCAAGATTTTACAAGGTCAATAGCTCTTAGGTCTTGCCAACTAATGAAATTGTGAAAATGACTTCCCGTTTTCCTAAGAAAGATGGAAACAGCATGTTGAGACTCAGAACAAATCAGACAGTTATGTACAAAAGATTTGCGACAAAAGAACAAAATAAGAAGCCCAATCATTTCCAAGGACTTACTTCGATGAGTCCTTCTGAATGGCTTCTCTTTCATTTTTATGTGAACTCACTACATGACCACTGTGATGTAAATAGTAAGAAACTGTACACCAGGGGCTGGAGCAATAGCATGGCGGTAGGGCGTTTGCCTTGCACGCAGCCAACATGGCCGACCCGAGTTCGATTCCTCCGCCCCTCTCGGAGAGCCCGGCAAGCTACCGAGAGTATCTCGCCTGCACGGCAGAGCCTGGCAAGCTCCCCGTGACGTACTCAATATGCCAGACACAGTAACAACAAAGTCTCCAATGGAGACGTTACTGGGCCTGCTCGAGCAAATCGATGAACAACGGGAGGACAGTGTCAGTACACCAGATGCCTCCATAAAGATACCATTTTGGAATCAGTAGAACGTAGACAGTTGAAAAATACAAAATGAGTGGGAAGATCATGAAAAACTTGCTTATGTGCCTGAAGAAGGCAAAATAATGAGGTCAAAGTTTTGCCCCTTCATTGTGCTTATCACGCTAGACACAACTCGATAAAGAAATTTCCCGCTACAGATACAGAATGACTGCTTTCATCTGTGGGATATGAAAAGATAGAGAATAGGAGACTAATATCCATGGTCAGGGAAAACAGGGGCTAGGAGGACTGGTCAATGGTTGGAACGAACCACAAGTGTGTGTGTGGTGGGGGGGCCTGAGGGTAGATAAGCTAAAGAAGAGATCACTATGACAATAATAGCTGGGAATGATGACGCTGACAAGATCTGAGGGTTAAAAGTAGGTAAGGGATATTCTTGATAGCCTTTCAACATGAATATTGCAAATCACAATGCCCAAAAGGAGAGGGGGGAAGAATGCGGGGGAGAAGAGAGAGAGAGAGAGAGAGAGAGAGAGAGAGAGAGAGAGAGAGAGAGAGAGAGAGAGAAGAAAAGTGCTTGCCATAGAGGCAGTCTGGAGGTGGGGGTTGGAAGGAGGGAAACTGGGGACACTGGTGCTGGGAAATGCACACTGGTGGAGGGATGGGTGTTGGGTGTTGGAACACTGTATGACTGAAATCCAATCATGAATGGCTTTGTAAGGGTCTATCTCACAGTGATTCAATAAAAAAAGTTAAAAAAAAAAAAGAAGTCTGCTTCTGCCTCCAGAGAGGCCGGGACACTGCCAGCTTCATGCTGTGCTTCTCAGCGTCAGGACAGGACGGGACCATCTCAGGGAACCTACTGCACTTAGCAAACGCTGTCCACTACCAAGACATTCCACAAACTCTGGATCTACACCACAATCCAAATACAGGATGAAGAACTAGAGTGGAAACAACTCCTGTTTCCTCTGTGACTGCTACAAATGTGCAACCACAGAGATCCATCTACTGCCCCAGCATCCCTCTGGGCTGGCTGTCCGCCCCAGCTCCAGTCCCTTCCCGTAAGAGACTGACCAGCTCTCACACCCCAGTGGCCTGCCCTCACCGTCTCCCCAACTTTCTCACCTGGAAACATTCTACCATGTAAGCCCGCATATCTTGCTGCTATTTTCAGTTTTAATCCTTTTACCTCCTCAATATCCTCCCTTCAAACACACTATAACTTTGATGTTCTGGGTTTTGGATCACACCCAGCAATCTTTAGGAGTTACTCCTGGCTCTGCACTTAGGAATTACCCCTGGCGTTGCTAGGAGATCATATTTGATGCCGGGGATCGAACCCAGGCCTACAGCCTAAAAGGCAAGTGCCCTACCACTATACTGTCACTTCATCCCCAAATTCCAACCCATTCAAATTAATTCCTCAATTAATTCCTCAAACATTCCCTTTTCAACCCTCTCAGAGGGTTCCTTACTTTGTTGGGTTCCATGGTCTACTACTTAAGTGATTTCTCTCATACACTCTCCTGCTTCTACTTTAATTAGGGCGACACAACATTTGCCATGTTTACCATTTTGAAGCACACAATTCAGTGGCATTAGGTACATTTCACATACTCTAACCATCACTGCTATCCAGGTTTTTTCCAGCTTCCGGCCACAATGAATAACGGTGCTACAATCAACTCTGCTCAAGATATATGTGAGCCCCATTTCCTGTCCCCTTAGGTGTGTAGCCAGGATCAGAACTGCTGGACCACATGGTAAGTCTGTGGCTAGTTTCTGGGGAGCTGCCAAATAGTTCTCAGTCGTGGCACCACTGCAATCCACTGCAATTTCAATATAGAAGATTTTCCACTTCTCTGTATGTCTTTATCAAGACTCAAATTTTCTGATTTTCGATTACTGTTAGCCTCGTGTTTGTGAAGGGGCGTCTCTGGGGGTCTGATTTGATTCTCCAAGGCCGGCTGGTTATCTCTGAGCATTTCTCTTTGAAGAAGCTGACCAAACATTTGTGCGTTATTCAAGTCTGTTTTTCTTTGATCAGTTGGGTTGTTTTGTTGTGGCTGAATCAGCTCAGTTCTCTCTGTCAAACATACATTTACAGATATTTTCTCCCATGATTTATATTTTTATTTCACTGTTTTTTTTTTTTGGTTTGCTTTTTGGGTCATACCTGGCGATGTACAGGGGTTACTCCTGGCTCTGCACTCAGGAATCACTCCTGGCGGTGCTCAGGGGACCAAATGGGATGCTGGGGATTGAACCTGCGTCAGCTGCATGCAAGGCAAACTCCCTGCCTACAGTGCTATCACTCGAGCCCCTCTTTTCACTCTTTTTAAAAATGTCCTTTCCTCCATTTTTTTTTTTACCTTTACTAAGGGAATGGCAGCAATCACCTACAGCATGAATATGTTACTTTTTCTCTCTTTAGCGATCAAAATGGTCACCGTTATTAGTACAAATCAGAGAAGAGATTCTCCCATGGGTTGAGCCCTCAATTATAGATAAAATTATATACCAAGGCATGACCTTCCACATTACAGGCTGTAGCTGGTTTCCACAATTAAACTCAAACTTGAGTGAATGTAGACAGATTTTTTTTCAGATACACTTAGAAAATAAAAATTCTACGTGATGTCAAAATAATTTTTGATCTGGCTTTGTTTCTTATTGATGATTAAAATTTAGGACAACTCTTCTATTTGCTGAAAGCCAGCTTTGGATTGCCATATGAAGTGCCACAAATTGAGCACCTTAAAAGCAGAGCAATGGCTTAATTCGGCCAGTTGTGGAGGCTAGAGAATGACAAAGTGTTCGAGAAGAAACAAAGGAAGAGGGGCAATGATGATCAACACCTCTGAGGGGGTCACCTTATAAGGGACCCTACAGATGTCCTCCAAACCTTGGTGCATGCCATTGTCTTTTTTTTTTTTTGGTTTTTGGGGAGACATTCGGTGATGCTCAGGGGTTACTCCTGGTTCTGCACTCAGTAATCACTCCGGCAGTGCTCGGGGGACTATATGGGATGCTGGGGATAGAACCCGGGTCGGCCGCATGCAAGGCAAACACCCAGCGACCTGTACTATCACTCCAGCCACCGATTGCCTTATACAGTCTGGTTACCCCACAATCACTGCACACCTTCATTTACATACACAGTATGGCTGGGTGTTCCTATTGGACGACCTCAGAGAGCAGAACCAATCAGGTCGCAGATATAGCTGAGGGGCGGGGAGATGCAACACACATGGACAGAGGTCACTAATCCATCCCAACTACCCTAACTACACTAGCCACTGTAACTGGTGTCTATCAAGAGGGCAGATAAGCCGGGGAGGAGGACAAGGGCAGCCCTGTGACCGTAGCTGCTGGCAAGGACACCAGAGTCAGTCTGCAGGGAAGCAAGCAAGCCACAAGCTGGACAATAAAACACTACATCATTTGGGGGTCGGCGGGCTCTTCTCTTTCATGCCATCCTCAGGAACCGGAGGCTGGGGGCGTCTGCTGACCCCTCCCTCTGAAAACCCGAAGCACACCTTCGTCTCTGACGTGTGCAGAACTCTGCCTGCCTGCTCACATGGACGTGTACACGTCAAGACGCCAGTCACAACACATTAGAAGCCCAGCCTGCTGCACTGTGCCCACGGCTTACTCACTTCATCTGCACTGACCCTATTTCCAAGACTCAGGTTTTGAGGTACTGCCAGGGCTTCTTGGCATCATTTCCCTCAAATCTCCCTCGTTTCTGTGAGAGATTATGGGGTCAAAGGGCATGGCGGGTTTCCAGCTCCTCTAATGTGGCAGAAGTTGGTGCCACGACTAATCTTGTATATTGTTTTAATGATTCTAATTCCCAACAGTCTCCAGAGGCCTTCCGAGCTAGGGTGCCCAACCCAGACAGCACCCAGGGAGCAGCTGATGCATCAGTTATACTCGATAAAAAAAGTCTAGACAGAGGGCCGGTGAGGTAATACAGTGGGTAGGGCTTTCACCTTGCATGTAGCCAATGGCCGGGGTTTGATCCCAGACATCCCACATGGTCCCCCAAGCATCGCCAGGTGTGGCCCCCAAATAAAAACAAAACCAAAAATCTTTGTGACATTAATTTTCTCTCTGAAAGCAATTATCAATATAACATGCATTATGGACTTCGATAACAGTCCGTGAGTGTAACCCTTTGCCGTGGCCACGTTCCACACGGATTTCAGCTTAAGTCTAAAAACACATCGACGTCATTAAGCTCGGAGGGTGAATACTGAGAGGCTCTGATTAGAGAACTGAAAATCTGAAACTTTGCATTTTAACAAACTAATTCATCAAACATATCCTTAAGTCATGACTGATCCTTACATTGGTCTATGAGGTGTTTAAAAGCTTTCCCTTTAAAAAACAAATGTGGTGAGTTGAAACTTTACTTTTCCACTCCTCATGGGCTGCCGACTTTCCCTTCAGGCAGAGCTGGGGCTTGCCAAACTATTTTTGCAAAGAGAGTATTCCTTGGGGACCAGAGTTCAGGGGTTCAGGCACCCACCAGAGTCGCAACCCCTGGCCTTGCTATTGGGGCACCTGAGCCCTGCCAGGAGTAATCCCTGAGTATGGAGCCAGGAGTAATCCCCAGCACAGAGGCAAGAGGCAGCTCTAGGCAAGGCTGCATTTGGCCTCCAAACAAATAAAAACAGAACAAAACAAACAAGCCAAAAAACAGAGGCAGAACCCTGGCGTGTGGGCACTGAAGCCTCAGAAACGCCTGTGAGCGCTGTGATCCTGGGATTCTTTAACTGTGAGGCTCCCCAAAGTCTCAGAGAAAGGCCCGGGCACTTTTGCAGTCTTCCAGGAGGTCCTCTGGAAGTCCCTGAGGCTGACACCTCTCAGCACTGGGCCAGACTCACACTTTGTGGCACAAAAGGCAGCTTTCTGCAGGACGGGTGGCTCCACGGCCGGCCCTGGCCACCGGCTGCTGTCCCCGCATGGAGGACTGGAGGGGGAAGGCTCAGCTGCGTACAGTGGGGGCTGGGGCCATCACACATCGGGGAGACACTCACCATGCACGTGGCTGACCGGGGTTCAATCCCTGGCAACCCATAGTGTGGATCTCTGAGGATTTCCAGGAATGGTCCCTGAGCACAGAGCCAAAAGTAAGCTCTGAATATCGCCAGGTGTGGTCGCAAGCCCCCCTTCCTACCCCCTGGAAAAAACCAAAATCCAGAAGCAAAAACATTTTCCTTTGAGGAAGGGGCTGTGCTTTACAGAACATTCATGAGAAGATTTCCAGGATGCTCCAGTGTCCCCTCACCCTCCAACAGAGTGTCTGCATCCCTTTCCGTAGTCTCAGGGTCCCCACCCTGCTCCCCCCACCCCCCGCCCGCCCCAACGCTGCCCTTGGGAAGATCAGTTCTACTGACCATTCTCAGGTATGGCTGCCTTTGCTATTCCTTCACTATGTTTCTCTAAATCCTATAAACGCGAGGTCATTCTATGTCTGTCCATCTGCCTTTTTGCTTGTTTGTTTGCTTTTGGGCCACTTTAGGCAGTGCTCAGGGCTTACTCCTGGCTCTGCACTCAGGAATCACTCCTGGAGGGCGCAGGGGACCATATGGGATGCCAGGGATCGATCCTGGGTTGGCTAATTGCAAGGCAAATGCCCTCCCCGCTGTACTATCGCTCCAGCCCTGTGTCTGTTCCTCTTGTGACTGACATCACCGCGTGATACTCCCCAGTTCCACCACAGTGGGGGGCAAACTGCCTCTTCCATCATTTCTCAGAGCCGAGCAGTAGGCCACCAGACAAACAGCCAAAGTTTCTTTATCTGGTCATCACTTGGGTTGTTTCAGATCTGGGCTGCTGTGAATAGTGATGCAATGAACAGAAGCATGCAAATGTCTTTTCAAAACAGTGTTTGGGGGGCCCTGACGCAGATGCCAAGAAGTGGAAAAGCTGGGTCATTATGAAAGCGGAATTCCTAAGCCATTTGAGAAGTTTCCATACCAGTTTCCAAAGAGGTGAACCAGTCCACAATTCCACCAAGAATGGATGAGAGTTCCTTTTCCCTCATGGCCAAGCTAATGCCCAGAGCTCAGACTCAGGAGTAAGACTTGAGTGTCACAGAGTGTGATCCAGACCCGCCAATCCTGGGAGGGGAAGGGGAAGGAGGTGGGAGGGACGAAATGGCAAAGTGGCCTAAGATCTCGGACCCTTTGGAGTCATTTTACTATCACATCTACTTATCCTTGTGACCTGATTTTCAATCACAGATTCAGCAAATATTTACACAGCAATTTGATTTTAGGGGTCATGTGGGCTGTGCTCAGGGCTTACTCTTGGCTCTGAGCTCCAGGGTTGCCCTATGGGGAGCTGGGGATTGAACCTGGGTCAATTATGACCTGGCCAATACCCTCCCATTGAACTATGGCCCCAGCAATGTGGCTGAGCTGCCTTCACCCAATCTCACAGGGCCCTGAGTTTGCTTCTGTGCCTGCAGTTACCACCAATGAGGAACCACTGGCTTGGGTAGCAAGTGCTACAACAAAAGGCCCTGATTCAGCAGGACACAGAGTCCTTCACTCATCTGCATTGTGACACTAGATACTTCCTTAAAGGCCAGATTCAGCTCCACATTGAGATTAGCTGGGATATAGCACCACCCCTCCCAGACCCCTCACTCAGCAACCAAGTGAACTCCGGTTCATGTGACTCAGAGTTTCTGGGACTAAATGGCAACATCCCACTGTGACCTTGGTTGGCAAAAGGCACACACACACACACACACACACACACACACACACACACACACACTTATGAAACAGAACAGCTCATTTATGAGGGGAATAAAATCCGTGTAAAGGCTGGAGTGATAGTATGGCCGGTAGGGCATTTGCCTTACACAAAGCTGACCCAGGTTTCAGGTTCAATTCCCAGCATCCCATATGGTCCCCCGAGCACCATCAGGAGTGATTCCTGAGTGCAGAGCCAGGAATTAGCCCTGAGCATTGCTGGGTGTGACCCACAAAGCCCCCCCCCCCCAAAAAAAAAAAACAACAACCAATGTAAAACCACTGAGATTAAAAAAAAAAAAAAAGAAGGAAAGGGAAACACCCTACCCCCCCGCCCCCTGATGAAATATATTTCAAAAATTGTTTTCATCTGAAGGAAGACTAGGAGGAAAACTCAATCATATAAACTCAAGTTTCCTCAGCTTGGAAAGGTGAAAGGAACACATGGGAGAAAGACCGAAAAAATAAAAGAATGAAAATCAAATTCAAAGTTTCGACATCTTCACAGCGATCCCCAGGAAACCAAGTCTCTTTTTTCTCAGGGCCCGGACTACACAACTGGGCCAGCTGCAGGAGAGAAGGAACTGGGGGGGGGGGGCTGGGGCCCCATTGGAGGAACAATAGGGTGTTTCACGGGGCAGGAAACCGAATGTCGATTTCTCTTAAAAAAACACAGGAGAAAAAGAAAGAAGCATTTGCTACTGCATCTTGGCATCTCGGAGGCTTCCAGAACCCGCCACTTTGCGCATCACAGCAGGTCACTAGGGCCAAAGGGTTGTATGTCAAGAGACATGAAAAGGTGTCTGTGTGTGTGTGTGTATCCGTACGCACACGTGTATATGTGTATGTGTGCATGCACGCGTGTATGTGTATGTCTGTATGCATGCACATGTGTGTGCACATGTGTGGGTGTATGTGTGCACATGTGTGCATGCATGTGTGTGCACATGTGTATGTATGTGTATATGAACGTGTGTGAGTGCGCACGTGTGCATGTGTGTATGTGTGTGAGCACATGTATGTGCATGAGTGTGTGGGTGCGCGAGCGTACATGCACGGATGTGTGTTTAATATTCAGTATTTTAGCTCCCAACAACCACAGCGTGCTTCCGGAGCCCGCAGAGCCCCATCCCTGCACACGGTTTCACTGAGGGAAGGAGGTGGATTTGGGTTCCGGCTACCCCGACTGTCTCTGGGTCCAGGGACACTCTGCTCTCCCTGTCACAGCTGACTCGGCACCCAGGTCCCTGTGACACCACGTGCAGGGTTGCTGTCCCTGAGAATCCACCCTGCTGTGGCCCTTCGGTCCACTGCTTCCCGGGTGCCCAGCTTCTCGGCCCTGTCTGGCCAGGGTTTCACTGTTGGCTGCCCTTTGTCGTAGGGAGAGGAGAGTCCGTGCCCAGACCCCCAGCCTTTCTGCGCTTCTGCCCCCCTGAACTGGAGTGGAGAGCGCACAGGCCCTTCTGCAGTTGGAGGCAGGTGGCAGAGCCTGGGGACTGCTGGGTGTCACCTCCTGGGCCGGGGTGTGGGTGCTACCCGTGCTTGGACGGTGGGGGCCACTAAACATTCCTGAGTGTCCTGGGCAGCGCCCTCTGGCCCCTGCACCACTGTCCACAGGGCCTGCTGGGTCCACCTAAACCAGGCAGGTGACCTGGGGCTGCTCCCTCCTTCCTGTGATGGGGGAGGCTGGGCTGCAGGTTCTTGGTGTCCCGGGCAGCGGGCGGGAGTGGCTGAGGCAGGAGAACAGCAGCCGTGCGCAGGCGTCAGCCCGAGACCTCGGGGCTTCCCTGCAGACCCCGGTCTGTAGGACTCAGCCAGCCTCAGTCTGCACCAGGTCCCCGCCCCCAGGACCTTGGGATCGCCTCCTGTGGGTGTATCCCCAGGAACACCTACCCATCACCCCCCAACCCCTCCTCCTCTTGGAGCCTCTCACTGGGATCAGGTCCCTCAAACCTCACAGCCAGGACAGCTGCTCACCCTCGAACTCCCTCCTCTTGCCTGGTACTGAGTGACCTGGAGCCGGAGGGGGCTTGGAGCCGGGTCTCAGAATTGTCTCTGTCAGGAATGCTCTAGAACAAAGAACTCTTCTCCCCAGCCGTGGCTGCTGGCGGGGCTGCTTAAAACAAGGAACCTAAGCTGCCAGCCAGCGGAGGTCATGGGAAAAGCACGCATCGCTTCAGTCGCCAGAAGATAACTGGGAGTCTCTGTTCGACCGCTGATCCTGGTGACCCTCAGCGACTTGATTCTCAAGTGTCTGGTCTAAGGAGACCCGATGCCTGACCACTGACTTCTCTGCTAGATAAAGGATGCCAGGAGCTATGAGGATATTCTGTGTCTTATCATGACCTCGCACCTAAGGCCCTGGGAGGTCCCTCAAGACCAAAGATGAAGCCCACAGGGATACAGAGCCAGGTCCAAGCAGGAGACACGTGAGCTTTCTGGAACTCCTATATGCTAGGCCTGTGCTCGGGTGAGAGATGAGCTCACACTGCCAGCTGGGAGGGTGCTCGGCACCGTCTCGTCACATACAACAAGTCCAGGTAACACACAGGATGGACTCCAGGAAGTCGGGGCCCCTCCACCGCCCCCCCCCCACCCCGGCAGGCCTCCCCAAATGACTCTTAGTTCACGGAATCCCAACTCCCCAGACCGGTTTCAGGGCAGGCAATTACTCGTGGGGGCATCGCCCCAGCATCGGACCCAGCACTTACTTGTTCCACGTAATGAAAGTCGCCCTCTGTGTTGAAATGCCCAGACCAAGGATTTGATTCATTTCTATTCCCGCAGCTGAAAACAGGGAGATAAAAACACAAGCTGTAAAACCAGCTACGTTCTTTGCAGCGTTTCCTTTGTAAGGAAGAGAAAGCATGTCCTAGAACCGCCTTAGAAATAGGGCCCAACCCCAGAGGTACTGAGGGGCTACTAGGGTCACACCTGGAAGTGCTGGGGGGGTACAAGGGCCAACTCAAGGCCTCCTGCATGCCAGGCATGTGCTACAGGACTTGGGCTGTATCTTCCCATCCTTGACAGAAACACTGTCATCAATGACTGAGATAAAACATGAAACACTTGAGCAGAAAACATTTAACTTGAAAAATAACTTAAAAAATAAAAGAGGGGAAAAAGCCATATTCTAATAACAAAGTGGCCTTGTGCTTGAAATGCCAGACAGAAACAAGGGCTGCTCAGACTGCATTTTCTTCTTGATAATCCTGCAAGATTCCATCTGGAATTTTTCAATGACCAGGCGACAGCAGGAGCTGGGATAAGGCAGACAGGAAAGGAGCCCTCAGCTGGAGGTCAGGCCTTATTCTGTCCACCACAGGAGATTCTCGGATGCAGACAAAACCTTTAGCCAGGGGCTTCCCAAATTTCTGAAAATGCAGTCATTTCTGGATGTTTGTTTTAGCGTGTGTGGTCATCCTTTAAAAGGCAATTCATCCCAGCAAATAGAATTAATGGATTCAATCAAACAGAATTAATGGATTCAATTTGTGGAAGATGCATCCTGAGAACAGCACTTTCCCCGCAAACACAAACCTGACTGTAATCCTGCGGAAATAATCAGACGAGCCCCGCAAGCTGCCACCTAGGTGGGCCTGCTGGTGTTGGGACCCCCACGGTCTCAGTGGGGGTCCCAAAGGGCTTGCTCTGTGGTAAAGAGATGAAGCAACTCGGCTGCTCTCTGCAGCACCTCCCCTTTGGAGTCTAGATCGAAACAGTTATGAATGGCCCAGACGCAGCAAAGGGAATTACGGAGGCTAATTACGAGACAGTATTACTGCACTATGTTTAATTTCCTGGGTGATAAATTCCTCTCCAGTTACATTGGAGAAGATTCCTTCCCATTGCGGCCAGCACAGAGCTTGTGGGAGTGACCCCAGTCATTACCCAAATCAAACTTCCATGAGTCAGGCAGTGAGAGTGAGCAAAGCCTGCAAAACAGGTTCTGAAGCCGGAGGCCAGCATGCTCCATGAATCTGTTCTCGAAACTTCTCAAGAGGGGGTTTGGCCAAGCAGAAACAAACTTTCCAGCCTTGTGGAAGTCCAACTGATCACTTTTGGTTTTGTTATCTGTACCTGAAGCAATAGCACAGCCGGTAGGGCGTTTTCCTTGCATGCAGCCGACCCGGGTTCAATTTCTCCTTCCCTGTCGGAGAGCCCGGCACGCTACCGAGAGTATCCCGCCCGCACAGCAAAGCCTGGCAAGCTCCCCATGACATATTTGATATGCCAAAAACAGTAACAAGTCTCATAATGGAGACCTTACTGGTGCCTGCTCAAGCAAATCGATGAACAATGGGAAGACAGTGGACAGTGGACCAGTGGAATCAGGTCATCGAAGACCTTTTTGATGTCCACCTCCTAGATTCCTGCCTAGGTTTTCCTCAACATATTTTTCAGCTTGGGGTTCTGATTTCTGGGTCTTTGGCCCACTTGGAATTAGTGTGTGGATGTTGTGTGCTGTGGATCCAAGTACTGGTTGTTTGTTTGTTTGTTAGTTTTCATGTGGCTGTCCAGTTTTCCCTGCACCGTTTGTTGAAAAGTCTTTCCCTGTTCTACTTCTCTCACCCAAGTCCTCTGTCACAGATCTTTTTTGGTGCATGCTTGTTTTTTTTTAGGCCATCCTGGTGGTGCTCAGGACTTAGTCCTGGCTTATTGCTTAGGGATCACTGCTGGTAGTGCTCAGGGGTTCAATGCAATGCTGGGGACTGCAACTTACCCGCTGTACTATCTCTCTGGCCCCACTTTGTCCTCGAGTAACTGACCATATATCTGAGGATTGATCACTGAGGGCTCAGGCAATGGGAAGAGACGGGGGAGAGGAAAGGAATATGGGGCCAAAGTTGAAAAGGATGGGGAGGGGGCACATGTGTGTCTATTGGAGGGGGTGGTGGTGTCATGGGCACTTTGGTGATGGGTGTGTTTAGGAACTTTGTACATTAATGTCATAAACTGAAACACTACTGGAACATTATTACCTAAACTACAATAAAAAAATAAACAGAGGGTCAGAGAGATAGTTCAGGAGGTAGGGTGCTTGCCTTTCATGCAGTCAACCCAGGTTGGCTCCCCAGCATCACACACGGAACCCTGAGCCCCACCAGGAGTGATGCCTGAGCACTGAGACAGGAGTCAGCTCTGAGCACCACCAGGTGTGGTCCCCCCCAATAACCCCAAATCCAAACTAACAAACCCCAGTGAATAAATAAATAAAATGGTAAAGCATTTAAAATTAAAAGGAGGCTTTGAAAGGTTTCAAACTTTAAGAGGCAGAGAAGCTAGGAAAATAAAGCTCAAAGGGTTCCGAATTGATGTTTCTTTACGGTTGTCTCCTGCCCAAGGGAGCATCGTAAATATTCTTCTGAGAACCAAGACCTCGGAGTGGGGCAGGTGCTCTGCACCCAAGACGTTAGCAGGGGCAGGACGCAAGCGCACTGGACAAAAAGGCAGCTGGGCCGGGCTGGGCAGAGACTCTGCCCAGCACCTCTGCCTGCTACACCTGCAGGGCCTCTGTTCTGCCTGGGCTACCAGGTCCAGGGCGGGGCTGGTGTGTGTGTGTGTGTGGGGGGGGGGGGATGGACGGGGGAGGGGGGCTCTGTGCAGAGCTGAAAGGAACCAACATAAAAGGACCAGAATTGCTGTCACCTCCTCCTCAAAGAGGTTCCCTCTCAGCTGCAAAGAGCCCCCGAAATGACAGGGAACCTGTGCATGACCCGTTCGGTGCCCTAACAGAAACCCACACAGTTCAGGGGACTGTGGGCAAACCCTTGAGACAGGGGAAGAGTTAAGGCACTGGCCTCGCATACAGGCCACTCTGGGTCATTCCTGGCACCACCTACTGTTCCCCACGAGTACCAGGGGTCATTCCTGAGCACAGAGCCAGGAATAGGTCCTGAGCACTGCGAGGGGTACCCACCCCCCCACCCTTCACCCTGATAGAATGAACATTTTTTAATTTATAAATTTATAAATCCAATTACCTTTAACAGATTCCTTTATTACAGCCACAAATTTGGCCCAGAGAACGTCAGGATCAATTTCAACCCAGCCAGGTTGAGGATAAAGATTTTCTACCTATGTGAGGAAGAGAGAAGAAAAACACACACACACACACACACACACACACACACATATTAGATCAAGGCAATAGCACCTGGGCCTTAAGGTGACTGTTGAAATAATTACGATGACTTTGTAACATGATTCATGTTTACTGTTACAACGGGGAAATACAGTATCTAAGAGGACTCCCTGAAATAATAGCCATTCCTTTATGAGTTTACAGAAGACCTGCTTTCAATTTCCCAGAAAGTCAGGCTTGAAGTTACGCAGGACAGCTCTGACCTCCAGCACTGCATGCCCCCACTGAGCACTGCCAGGTCTTATTCTGGTGGTCCCTAAATGCCAATCTGCCAGGCTGGCACCACAGGGCCAAGCACTGCTGGGAGTGGCGCCCGGCCCCCCTTGTGGCTCATTCAAACACAGCGTTAGACTTCCGGAAGCGGAACACTGAGAAAACCCAGGGTGCACCCGGGCTCTGCTGGGAGTCCTGGCTTCCGTCACCGGCACCACGCAGTCCCTCAAACCCACAGGAGGCCCCTGGGACACAGCTGGGGGTGGCACCCAAACTAAAACTAAAAGATAAGAATGACGTCAGGGAGCCCGAGCAGACGCGAACTCAGGTAGAGGAGCTGCTGGGGAGTTTCCCGGGGGTCTCCCCGGGACCTCCTGGCCTGGCCCCTGGATGCTGGGATGGACACCGGTTGCAGAGGACCTTGCTTTGGCATACACGGGCAGGCAGGGAGAAACCCCATTTCTCATCCAGAGCAGTAGCTGTGGCCCTAAGGATGCACCTGGCTGCCTCGGGTCAGACACAGGGACAGCAGCTGACCGAGGTCACGAAAGCTATGGCTTTCCAGAAAGACCCACAAGGAGAGGCTGCGGGGATAGGAAAATGCCAAGAAGGTCCCAGGGGTGCAGGAGCCTGGGATGGCCTGGGAGGGTCCTCAGAGGCCGCCTGCAGGCCGCTCCCGCTTGTCCAGGAAATCCGGAAGCTTTGCTTCCTACACGGTGAGTCGGGGCCAGGCAGTCCAATGTGAGGGTCACCCCAGACTTGGCAACAATTTCAGAAAAGATGATGACATAAAAAAAAAAGAAAAGGAAATTAAAACCAAGGGAAGAGGTCAGGGTGCTAATACAGCAGGCAGAGCATTTGCCTTACATGCAGCCGACCTGGGTTCGATCCTCAGTATCCCACAGGGTCCCCCTGAGCACTGTCAGGAGTGATGTGATTCCTGAGTAAACCTGAATATCGCTGGGTGTGGCCCCCAACACACACACACACACACACACACACACACACACACACACACACGCATCGGGAATTCCAGGTGCTCTGGGCAGTGCTGGCCCGGGTGACGCCTCTAGTGCAAAGGGACTGTACTTGGAGGGCGCGTAGAAGCCAAACCACAGCAAGGCCGTCCCCCGGGGCCCAAGGGGCAGACCCCTGCCACACGGACCCCCAGGGGGCATGGACACAGGGCAGGGCCACGGAGCAGTGCCATGACGTTGAGAACAGAACAAAGGCTGAGTCCACAGCTGCAGGACGTGTGGTCTGAAGCCCACGATTCGTGGCCTGGATAGGGGAGCCAGCTAGGGAGGCATGAGGCTGGGAGTCGGACGCCTGATACAGCCCCACGAACGGGGTCCCCAGCACTAATGGGGTCGTCTGTGGCACCACCCCCAGTGTCTGTCCCTCAGTACTCTGCAACCAAGTGTGTGGTGTGTGTGTGTGTGTGTGTTTGCTCCCCACGAAGCAACACAACCACGTGTTTGCAACCCTGGCAACACAACAATTGTGTGACCCCAGGGACGGTGGCAACGAAGGCGATAATAACCATGAGAAGGGACAGAAGGGCGCAGATGCAAAAATCAAGTTACAAGGGGGACAGGGGTCTGGAGAGATAGAACAGCGGGTAGATCCTCAGTACCCCATACGGTCCCCCAAGCATCACCAGGATCCATTGAGCGCAGGGCTAGGCCTGAGCACCACTGGGTATGTCCCGAAAAGCAAAGTAAAATAAAATAAAATATTTTTAAAAGTACAAGGTAAAATGAACAGTATCTCAACTCACAGGGAAGAAGATAACATCTGTGGTCATCGAGGTTACAAGAATCTCGGACCCGGGTTTTTGACGCGCTATTACCGGCACCCTCTGAGAAGGGCAGGAAACATGGTGTGTCTCGGCAAAGACCGGACTAAGTCAAGAAAGACAAAATACAGTGATGAGGGGCTGGGGAAGAGACCCCCGGCTCAGAGGCACACACTCCTGCACGGGCAGGAACTCGATATAGACCAACAGTGGGGTATGACACCTTAGGCAAGACCGAGGTAGCCCCGGATGTCCCACTGAACTCTGAAATGCAACACTTCAGGGAGTGGGAGAAACAGGCCTTGAAGGCTGCGGGGAACAAACCTGAAATTCTTGAAATACAGACAAAGTTCTAGAGACCTAAAGAGCAGTCATGTGGGGGCTGGAGCGATAACACAGCAGGTAGGGCGTTTGCCTTGCACACAGCCAACCCAGGTTCGATCCTCAGCATCCCATATGGTCCCCTGAGAAGCACCAGGACTGATTCCTGAGTGCAGAGCCAGGAGTAACCCCTGTGCATCGCCGGGTGTGACCCCCCCCCAAAAAAAGAGCAGCCATGTGACTGGTTAATAACGTGAAACTGGCCAAGAGCAGCCTGTGCAAAGTGTGGTCCCCCACACAGGGGGGAACTGGGAAGGGGCTGGGCATATTAACTCCCCTGGCCATGCAAATGTGTAACCAAACATTATGTTGTGGAACTTAGACAGGCATTATTTGGCTTTTGGGCCACACCCAGCAATCCTCCTGGCTCTGCCCTCAGGAATCACTCCTGGCAATACTGGGGGGAGGGGGGAACCATATGGGGTGCTGGGGATTGAACCTGGTTGGTGCGTGCAACGCAAGCGCCCTTACCTGCCATCGTACCTCTCTACCCCAGACATTCTTTATACATCAAATAAAGGTAAAGGTAAAGGCCCTCCCGTTGATCGTTGATTTGCTCAAGCGGGCCCAGTAACGTCTCCATTGGAGACTTTGTTGTTACTGTGTCTGGCATATCGAATACTCTCGGTAGCTTGCCGGGCTCTCCGAGAGGAGCGGAGGAATCGAACTCGGGTCGGCCATGTTGGCCGCTTGTAAGGCGAACGCCCTACCCGCTGTGCTATCGCTCCAGCCTGATTTAAAACTGGAGGATTGAGGGTGCAAATCAGCTAACTTTAAAAAGAAAAAAAAGGTGAGAATTCAAATTTTAAAAATGTTACCAATGTGCTTTAATGATAGAATGGAAACAATGGGTTAAAAAAATAAAAAAGTCCTGGGGCTGGAGCAATAGCACAGCGGGTAGGGCATTTGCCTTGCATGCGGCCAACCCGGGTTCGATTCCCAGCATCCCGTATGGTCCCCTGAGCACTGCCAGGAGTCATTCCTGAGTGCAGAGCCAGGAGTAACCCCTGTGCATTGCCAGGTGTGACCCAAAAAGCCAAAAAAAAAAGTCCTTACAATAAAGATACGTCATTGAAAATCATCTAAACTGCACAAGACAAGGAGAAGAGAGCAGAAGGAAGGACCGGAGCCTCAGTGGGATGTGGGACGAGAGAACAGGCCTGGCTTCCAGGGAGTCAGAGTCCCTGAAGGACAACGAGCCAGAGTAGGGAGGGAAAAAAGAAAATTCTCCACAGAACTCATAGTGCTCTAAATGTCCTAGTTCCGAGAAAAATTAAAAACCTATTTATTCAAGAAATTCAGAGTACTCGTAAGGAGATAAATCCAAAGTGTTACACACTGAGAGCCAGTAGTAAAATGCTGAAAAATCAAAAGGATGAAAACCTGGATCGACCTGACACGGTCCCTACACGGAACGAGGATTCCCACGGCTGCACTTCTCGTCAGAACCTCAAATGTCCTATGAGGATAAAGGTAAAGGTAAAGGCCCTCCCCCGTTGATCGTCGATTTGCTCGAGCGGGCCCAGTAACGTCTCCATTGGAGACTTTGTTGTTACTGTGTCTGGCATATCGAATACTCTCGGTAGCTTGCCGGGCTCTCCGAGAGGGGCGGAGGAATCGAACTCGGGTCGGCCATGTTGGCCGCTTGTGAGGCGAACGCCCTACCCACTGTGCTATCGCTTTGTTGATAAAACCATGATGATTCTGAAAGGCAAGAGAGCCCAAACAATGTGGAAAGGAACACAGCAGAATCACAGCACCAAGTTCCCACCATCGAAAGCCTGTGACCAGCACAAAGAGACAGACAGAGACCAGAATGATAGCACGGAAGGACTAAGGCACAGGCCTTGCAATTGGCCGACTTTGATTTGATCCCTGGCACCACATGGTCTGCTGAGCATTGCCAAGTACAATCCTCAAGGCCCTCGATGCATTGCCGGGGTGATCGGGGTACCCCTGACCCCGCAGGGCCTAGACAGTACTCCATCCCCAGGTCCTAAACGCTGAGCCTCTGGCCAGACTATCCAAGAATTTCCAGGAGGGTCCCGGGGGCATCCTGAGCATTACTCACAAGTGCCCCTACTTCCCTCCACTCCAAATAAAGTATAAAGAAAATAGAGGGTCAGAGCGACAGAACAGCAGGGAGGGCGTTTGCTCTGCTCATGGTCAATCCGGGTTCAATCCCTGGAATCTCATTCGTTCCCCCAAGCACCACTAGGAGTAATTCCTGAGTTCAGAGCCAGGAGTAACCCCTGAGCATCGCTGGGTATGACCCCAAAAGCCAAAAAAAGATCAACAGTGTAGAATGAAGTTTAGGAAAAACCACAAAAGTCTAGATGATGATTTCTGACAAATGGAAAAGGCAATAAAAATCCCAGTTTCTTTTTTCCTCAACAGAGTTGGAACAACGAAACATCCCCATGCAAAAAGATAAACCTCAGTGTAAAGTTCGCACATCAAACCAAATGTAATTCAAACCTGATCATACACCTGAATGTAAAACATGAACCCCTAAAATGCTGAGAAGAGAAACAGGCGAATAAGCTTGCTGATTTGGGTTTAGGTCAGTTTCTTAAACATGACTACAAAAACGCAACTCATAAACACAAAGATGTGATGAACTGGACTTCATCAACATGAAAACCACTGGCTCTGCAACAGATATTGTTCGGAAAATTGAAAGGCTGACAAAAATTTCTACAAATTGAGTGATAGCACAGAGGTAGGGCGTTTGCCTTGCGTGCAGCCAGCCCGGCCGAGCTGGGTTCGATTCCTCTGTTCCTCTTGGAGAGCCCGGCAAACTACCGAGAGTATCTCGCCCACATGGCAAAGCCTGGCAAGCTACCCGTGACGTATTCAATATGCCAGACACAGTAACAACAAGTCTCAAAATGGAGACGTTACTGGGCCCGCTCGAGCAAATCGATGAACAATAGGAGGACAGTGGACAGTATTTACATATTCAATATAGGAATTATAGAGGCCCAGAAAATAGAAAGAGATCTTAAAACTCAACACTGAAAAGCAATTCCTCTCACCCTCCTCCCTGCCCCGCTCCAATAAAGGGGGACAAAAGACTCTGAACACATATTTCATCAAAGAAAAGGGCCAGAGCGATAGCCTAGCGGGTAGGGCGCCCGCCTTGCACACAGCCAGCCTGGGTTTGACCCCCAGCACCTCACATGGTCCCCGAGCCTTTCAGGAGTGATCCCCGAGCATAGTGCCAGGAGTAAGCTGCTCAGGTACGGCCCCCCACAAAAACAAACTAAAAGGGAAAATGGCAGCACCAAAGAGACTTTATAGAGGCTAAGGCACTTGCCCTGTACGCTACCGGCCCCAGCTCTATCCCTGGCATTAGGTGGTCCCCTGCGCATTCCTGGTACAGATCATGGAGGCCTCAGGGTGGTCCTGGGTCCTGCTTGCTGCTTCCAAGCATTATGGTTGAAGCTTGTTTGCCACCTTCATAATGCTCAGAATTGTTGAGGAAGACCAGGCCTAGAAAATCTGAGAAGAAACAAACTGTCTCCTGAGAAAAAACAAACTGTCAGCATTCAGTTCTGTTCGTGATTATTTTCTCTGGGGGTGTGGGGGGTTGGTGCCAGGGATCAAACCCAGGGCCTTAGGTGTGAGAAGCCTGGGCTCTACCACTGAGCTACCTCCTGGACCCCAATAAGCAAATTCCTAAATTCAGAGGCTAAACTCCTTTTTTTTTTTATTTTAATGTAGCAGTATTGCTATTTATTCAGTCATTGATTAGGCTGATTGAATTGGGCATGAACTCCACCTTACTTTTTTTTTCCTTTTTATAAATTTATTTATTGAATCACTGTGAGAGTAGTTACAAAGCTTTCAGGTTTAAGTCTCGGTCATACAATGATGAAATACCCGTCCCTTCACCAGTGCCCATCCTCCACCACCAAAAACCCCAGTATACCCTGTCCCACACCCTCCCCCACCTGTGGGGCAGATGAATTCCACTTTACTGTCTCTCAGAGACTGAACTCTTTACCCTCTTAAACGAAACTAATTCTATTTTATTTCCTGATGCATTTACCTTTGAGAAGCGAGTGATGCACCCCAGGGCCTCCCACATACAAAGCAAAGGCTCCACTACTGAGCTGCATTCCTGGCCCTACAACCAGCGATTTTGGTTCTTTTTGGTCTTTGAGCCCACCTGGTGGTGCTTAGGATACTCCCAGGAGTGCCTGGGAAGACCTTGAGGTGTGGGGATCGAACCCAGGTCTCCCGCATGCAAAGCCCGCCATGCTGTCTCCTCAGCCTCCTCCAAGCACTGGGGACAGAGGGCTGGAGATGTGGTTGTTTCCTTTCACCTGGCCTCCCTGTCCTGTCCTTCCAAGACATCGTCCTCTCTCATGGCCTTTCACACTGTTATTTCAGTGGAGAACAGGGGGTATAGAGGGTGCCCCCCAAGCAGTGCTCAGGCGGGCTGTGGGCTGCAGGGATGATTCTCAGCAAGTGGATTAACATAAGGGCCTGATGATGTGCTGCTCAGGCCTGCAGAGCCGAGGACACCCGGGCCCCGGGTGGTGCATGGGGACCTCCAGGTCTGGCACCCAGCAATGCCCGGGGAACCAGGACGCAGGGCCCTGGACCAAACCCAGGCCGGGCACTAGGAACTGTGCCCTAACCACTGTGCTATCTCTGTCCACTCAACTTTCTCTATTATAAAAAATTAAAATTGTCAAACATTCACATGTGGGCTTTCCAACTGTGTGCTCTTTTGATCTAAAGCGCCACGACATGTAAGATCTGTAAGCGGCATCTCTGCTCCAAAAGAGGCCACGAGAATCAAACAGGCATCTCCAGCATGGTCTGAAAGCTCCCTAAAGGAACGGCTCCTGTTTGCAGTGCTCAGGGGATCATATGAGATGCTGGGAATCGAACCCGGGTCGGCGGCGTGCAAGGCAAACGCCCTACCCGCTGTGCTGTCTCCCCACCATCGCGATTTCAGTTTTAAGTAAAACCCAACATGTTGATATTGTTCTCTGCTCAAAAGGGCAATCTTTCCAGCTTTTTTCCTTTCCTTTTTTTCTTTCCTTTTTCGCTTGTGGGCCTTACCCAATGGTGCTCAGGGTTTACTTCTGTCTCTGTCCTCAGGGATGACTCCTGGTGGGGTTCAGGGGAATCAAACCCAGGAGGAATCAAACCCGCTGCAAGTGCAGCTGTACTGTCTCTCTGGTCCCAGTCTTTGAGATTCTCACCCCACTTATAAAATATCTGAATAATTAGCACCAAACTATCCAACAACCCCAGTGAGACACTGTCATCTTGTAACACTCTGTCTCTCCTGGTGCAAGACTTTCATTACTGAAAACAAAACCCAAAACAAAACAAAACAAAATCACTGCTTGCAACAAATGTGCTTTGTGTCTAGAAAGGGGAGAAGGAAGGCTTGTGATAAGGCCTCAGAGAAGGATAAGGAGCACAACCGCACGGGTTGGAGGAGATGGGGGCGTGACGACGGTGGGTAGCGTGTGCAAGGGAGCCCAAGGAGAGCGCTGGGGTGGTTCCAGCTCACCCTCTAGGTCCTGCGACCAAACGCTCCAAACAGGTAACTAACACCCCCCGCGGGCTCACAGGGACCGATCAGCACCAGATCTGAGAACCCATGGTCTTGGCGCGCTGGGAATTTGTTTGGCGAGGCTCTTCTCGCCAAACAGTCCCAGGCTGTCCCCTTTGCTGAGCACCTGGTACGCTTTCTCAGAGCAGAAGAACAGAAAGTTCTCGGGAATTCTCCACTTCGGAAAGGAAGTGGCCACGCGGGCTTGCCAACGGGTCAGCTCCCTCCCGCGTTCAGGTGCATCAGAGGCCGGCGGGACTAGGGGGCACCCGAAGCGGGGCGGGTTACTAGAGATGCCCAGAGCGAGACTGAAATCGGATCGTGGCCGGGCGGGACGTGGGCGATCAAGGAAGGGCACGGAAAAATCGACCCAAACCAGCCCTGCCCCACGAGTCCCTCCCGGGAGGGCGGAGCCGCGGATGCCCCGGCGGGCGTGAGCGGCCCCGGGCGGCCAGCCGCGCCGTCCTGCCCGGCCGGGAAGGGGCAGGCAGGGGGCCGAGCGCGGGGCTCGGCGGGGCCCGGGGGGCGGGGACGCGCCGCCCCACGCGCCGCTCGGGACCCGGCGCGGCGGGCGCGGCGGGGGGCAGCGGCCCGGCCCGACCCCGCGCCCCGTTACCTTGTGCGCGCTGGAGCCGCGGACGCGCGCCGCGCGGTCGTAGACATGGCAGCGGATGACCGAGCTGCCCACGTCCAGCCCCAGCACGAAGCCGGCGGGCGACGCGCTCCCTGCGCCGGGCTTGGCGCGGCCCAGCGGCCCGACGCCCGGGACCCCCGACATCCTGCGCCCCCGCGACTCCACGCCGCGGCCGTCTGCGCAGCCGGCCCGAGGCAGGGTGCCGCGGCGCCGCCGAGGCCGAGCGCGCCCCTGCGGGCCGCCGCCCCCGGCCCGCCCCATTCGCCTGGTCCCCCGCGGGTCTCCGCCCCTTCCCCAAACCCAGCCGGAGGCCCCGCCCCCTTCGCCTGGCCCCGGGCCGAGGGCCCTTCCCTTTGGCTGGTTCCCGGAGGAGGCCCCGCCCTCTTCGCCGAGCCCCGCCGGAGGCCCCGCCCCCTTCGCCTGGCCCCGGGCCGAGGGCCCTTCCCTTTGGCTGGTTCCCGGAAAGGTCCCGCCCCCTTTTCCAAAGCCCGCCGGAGGCCCCGCCCCTTCTCCCGGTCCCCGGCCGAGGACCCTTCCCTTTGGCTGGTTCCCGGAGGAGGCCCCGCCCTCTTCGCCGAGCCCCGCCGGAGGCCCCGCCCCTTCGCCTGGTTCCACGGAGGAGGCCCCGCCCCCTCGCCTGGTTCCAGGCGGAGGGCTCTTCCCTTTGGCTGATTCCCCTGAGGCCCCGCCCGCTCGCCTGGTCCGGCGGAGGCCCCGCCCCCGCCCCACCTCGCGAAGCCACGCCCCGACGCGTGACGTTACGGCGCGTCTGCGGCCCCGAGAAGCCCAGTGACCGCGTGGGGCGCGGCGTGGTTAGCTCCCGGGTGGTCGCGCGTGCAGGCGCGTCCGGAAACCCAGGTTTCTGTGGCGCGGGGATCTGGTCCCCGAGTTAAGTTACTTCCCCAAGCGCCCGACGCTTTTTTTTTTTTTACTCCCTCTGAGTTAAGGTTTTCTGAATTAAAGGCGCAAAGAAGTTCAGAATTCCGCCGAAAGTTTTTAAAAACGAACTCAGAGCGTGTCCCCCAAGTCTTCTCCCCCCTCAGGAAACCTGGAAACGGTTGCACCGCGGGAAACGCTTCCACGGATACTGCGAAAGGAAGCAGGTCCGCGAGGAAGACCGGCCGTGCCACTCAGCTCTGCATTGGCTGGAGCGCAACCCGGCAGCTGCCCTTTCGCCCAGAGGGCGCCCGGCCCCGGGGCACTGGGCATTAAAAAAATAAAAAGGCAGGAAGGAGGTGCGTAGAAATTTCTAGAAGCCAACGGGGCGCCTCCCCCAGCCTCCAGCCCCGGCTGCGGGAAGGTTCTACCTTGTCCTGCCACCTCCCACCCCCAGCTGCACCCGCAAAAAAACGGCTGCGGAAAAGATGAGTTTTCTTTTTGTAAAATGGTTAAAGGAACCTAGGTGCGTCTGTGCTATTTTGTGCTACTACGTTTAAGAGCACAGAGTAAAGAAAAAGACAAGGATTGTGTTTTGAATCAAGTTGCTCGTTTGTGAGATGATCGAGTCTTGAGTCAAGTTGCATGTGTGTGTGTGTGTGTGTGCGCGCGTGTGTAAGGATTGTGTCTTGAATCAAGTTGCTGGTGTGTGTGTGTGTGTGTGTGTTCTCCTTAGTGCCTGTCCCTGCCCAGTCTCACTGACTTATTCTCAGCAGGCTCAGAGCTGCCTTGGGTGGGCACCATCCTGGTGAGTCACTTACACAGTGTCATCTGAAATGAGTAACAGGTCCTGTGCTTGTCAGCGTTCTTCAGAGGAACAGAACCAACAGGACGGAGAGGTCGGGATTTGTTTTAACTGGCTCAGGTGTTTGTGAGGGGTCATCAGTCCCAGGAAACTTGGGTCTGGAGTCGGAACACTTGAGGGACAGCAGGTGGGAAACACAGAAGGGCACCCATTGCTGCATTCTTGAAGAGAATTCTTAGCCCCATCCTCTCCTTCCACTGACTGGACAAGCCCGCCTCACACCATGAAGGGTGATTCAGTGTCTGTTGACTTAAGTGTTAATCATGTTGGGGGAAAAAATACCTCAGAACAATATCCAGACTGGTATTTGGCCACAACTGGGCACCCACCCAGTGTGCCCTCTCACCCAGGCAAGTTGGCACACAAAATGAACCCTTACGGGCCTTTTTACAATCAAGAATGCTGCTCCGAAGTCCCTGATGTAGATCTTAGGGCGTTTCTCAGTATGGCATTTCTTGGATTTCTTGCCATCTAGAGACTCCTTTTAATAAATTAAAATCAGTTACAGGGCAGCATAAAACTTCGTGGACCCTGGGCCTTCAGCATCCCCACTGTGGCGTGTTTGTTGGTCTCTTTTTGCTCCCAGACACCTCACAGCCTGTGGGGACCATCGTCTGCCTGAGACCGTGGGAACAGGAAAATCTGGGGTCTTCCTTGAGGGCTGGAGTGATAGTACAGTGGGTAGGTGTTTGCCTTGCACACGGCCAACCCAGGTTCAATCCCCAGCATCCCATATGGTCCCCCAAGCACCTCCAGGACTAATTCCTGAGTGCAGAGCCAGGAGTAACCTATGTGCATCACCGGGTGTGACCCAACAAGAAAAAAAAAAGAAAAAAAAATCTGGAGTCTTTCAAACTAACAGACCCACAGTTGCCTCTGAGGTGCGAGTTGTTTCCCTGTCACAGTTCCTTGCTGTCTCTCCTGCTATGCTCCATCTGGGAGGGTGAGGGGAAGGGTGTGGCTGTAGGCTGGGAACATTTTTCTTAGTTCCCAGGACACTGCTGCTCTAGCTCCAGCTCCTGCCTCTAAAGCTGTTTCTCCTCAGGTTCTGGCCTTAGCCTTGGGTTGTCTCTCCCAGCCTCTGTCTCTTCTACACTTTCTCCTCAGGCTGAGGAGTGAAACTCAGTGTACTCACCTCCCACACGTATCAGAAACTTGGATGCAGTTCTACCAGGGCTGGGGCAGAAAGTGTATGAGGTCACGCTTCCTTGTCACTGCTCAGGAAGGAGATGGTTGGTCTTCAGAGGTGACCTCAGGGCCCCCGATGGTTTCCCACCTCTAAATGAACCAGTCATTGGCCCTGTCACCTGGGGGTGACTGTTCTGGCTTCTCTGGGGCTGAGGAACTGTCAGTGATAAAACTAGGATGAATCGCCTGGCTTCTCAGAGGTTCTTGGGGTTCGAAGGTGACTTCCTTTGGGACTGGCTGCATCGTGCTGAGGCGTCAGCCACTGTTGTGGACAGCAAGCCCCCGGGGGACAAAGATGGGGCCTCAGTTTCTGTCTCTGCCAGATACACAAAGTTAACTCCTGAGTGACAGAAAGGCAGCCATCAGCAAATCAGCAGTGAAGTGGGGAAGGCACGGGCCTTGCACGTGGCCAATCTGGCTTCCATTCCCAGCACTAGACGTGGTCCCCCAGCACCACCAAGAGTGATTCCTGAGCACAGAGCCAGGAGCACACTCGCTGAGCACTGCTGATGTGCACCCCCACAAAACAACAACAGTAACAGCGAAGAAAAGGCAGTCCACTAAAAGGAATCTACTTACAAATCGTGTCTCATAAGGGGCAGGGGGCATTTTAAGCTAAAATCACCAGAAAAAAAAAGAAGGAAAGAGTGCGGCAGTTACATGCCAGGCATACATCTGACCTGGGTTCGATTCCTTGGACCGCATGGTACCCTGAGCATTGTGGTGTGTGGCCTGGAGGCACCCAGCACCTCTGGGGCACTCTGGGAATCCTGGTACCAAACGGCCCGGGCAGCACCACATCCTTGGACCCTTGCTCATTTTCAGGGTTCATTAAGCAAGCCCCAGCTTAATCTCCAAGAATCACCAACAGGGTCCTGGACCTCCCCTGAGCATCTCTTGTGAGCTCCCTCTGCTCAGAGCTTCCCCCTGGCTCTGCGCTCCGAGATGGCTCAGGGAACCAGGTGTGATGCCAGCCATTAAACCAGACGTGACGGCGCTGCAGCCTTGTGTTTGTCAGACGTATTTTCGTCTGAAAGCGTTTCACAGTCATTGGTTGCCTGAATTCCACCAGGAAAGTCAACTCCCAAGGGAACCACAAAGTTAAGTATGTGTGGGGATGGGAGCGATAGTATAGTGGGTAGGGCACTTGCCTTGCACACAGCCGACCCGGGTTCAACCCTTGGCATCTCATGTTTATTGATTTATTTTCTTGCCGTGGCTTTTCATAGGTCATTCAATTTCCATCCTTCTGTGTCCCTTTTCTTTTTTGGAGGTGGTTTTTTTTTTTTTGTAAGTGCCCCATTTTCAGAGAGGGTTTTTTTTTCTTTTTGGGTCACACCCGGCAATGCACAGGGGTTACTCCTGGCTCTGCACTCAGGAGTTACTCCTAGCGGTGCTCAGGGGACCGTATGGGATGCTGGGAATCGAACCTGGGTTGGCCGCGTGCAAGGCAAACGCCCTACCCGCTGTGCTATCTCTCCAGCCCCTCAGAGAGGTATTTTGAATAGTAGGCTTGCCTCGTGAGTGTGTATCTCAACAATGCTTTCAGTCAATTCCTCCCCTTCCCTCAGTTGCTGTGGCAATGCTCAGGGTGCCACACTTGGTTGTGGCATTTGCATACCTGGTTTTGGTGCTTGCATACTTAGTTGTCGTGTCACATCTGCGTGGGTGCCAGGGGTTATACCCTTTTGCGGGGCTGGCACGTCGTCATTGGCTGAGGTTTGCTAGACGGCACACTTTTGTTCTGGGACAGGGGAATCACACCACCGCAGTGCCCCTGGGATCTGAAAGGGCATGTGGGGTGGTTGCATGTGGGCATCAGACACATGACCTCACACCTGCTTGGCAGGTTCCCTGCTGCTGAGCTGTGACCTCAGCCCAGGGAAGTAACTTGGTGATAGCCTCACTTTCAAATGACCAATTCAGCTTGGTAAAGAGCACTGGTTTCATAGCAACTTTCTTCCTGCTCTCGAAAAGATTGGCCCATTGGTGTCTAGTGTCGGTGTGAGTCAAGCGAAGTCTCTTACCAATCAAAGTCTCACTTTTCTCTCCAGTAGCTTTATGATATTCTGCTAAAATGCAGCCTGTTGCTCTCCCAAGGTGTGGGTTGGTGATTAATCGTGCTGTGACCCTTCGGGTTGAGGGCCCGGCCTTCTGTTTTGAAAAATGTTTTACTTAGTACATTTGTCTCTTCCTCCTACTCCCTCTACTGTCTGTTGGGATAGATATTTGACTTAGAAGTCATTGTGACACAATTTCAGATTCATAGGAAGGTTTCAGGGTAGCTTGAAGGATTCACGTAGAAAAGTTGCAGGGACATTTCCGGACCCTGCACGAGGCTGAGTGGTCTGGGGTACCACA